CCATCAAAAGAGGACTGGATAAAAATATGTGGTACATATACACGATGGAATATTACACAGCCATAAAGAAGGACAAAATTAGGAACTTCACAGCAACTTGGATGGACTTAGAGTCTATAATACTGAGTAATCTGTCACAGAACAAAGAACTGAGTATAACAAGTTCTCACTCATAAGCAGACCTTGAACAATTATCATAATACTGTAAGAAAAGTATTGGTAGTAGTGGGGGAAACTGCCTGGGGGGTGGGAGGGGGAGGTGGGATTGACAGTAGTGGAAATCTGCCAGGGGGAGGAAGGGGGCACACCTCATCAATAAGGGTACTTGCATAATGAACATTTGTATACCTAACTCTGAACTGTACCCCACATCTTTAAAATAAAAATTAAAAAAAAAAAAAACACTGAACACTTCACTAAAGAAGATAAACAGATGGCAAATAAGCATATGAAAAGATGCTCAACATTATGTATTATTAGGGAATTGCACATTAAAACAACGAAATACCACCACATAGCTCTCAGAATGTCTAAAATCCAAAACACTGACAATATTAAATGCTAACAAAGATATGGAGCAATTCCCATTGCAAAATGGGACAGCCCCATTGCAAGACAGTTTGGCAGTGTCTTATAATGCTAAAAAACACACTCATACTACATAATCCAGCAATCGTGCTCCTTGGTATTTACTGAAAACCTATACCCACACAAAAACCTGTACATAAACGCTGATAGCAGTTTTACTTATCATTGCCAAAACTAGGAAACAACCATGATACCCCCTCAAACTATTGAGAGACAAGCAGTAACTTTCTTATATTACAAATAAAGAAAGACTATACAATTTCAAATATATGACAGTCTTGAAAAGGCAACATTATATAAGCAGTAAAAAGATTAGTGGTTGCCAACAATTCGGGTGGAGGGAGGAAGAGACGAATAAGTGGAACACGGGATTTTTAGGGCAGTAAAACAATTCTGTGTGATACTGCAATGGTGGGTACATGACATTATACATTTATCAAAACTCACAGACGTGTACAATACAGTGAACCCTAAGTAAACTATAAACTTTATATAATAACAATGTATCATAATTGGCTCATCAATCTTAACAAATGAATCACAATAACGCAAAATGTACATAGAGGAAACTGTGGGAACGGGGAGTGGGTAACGGGAACTCTGTACTTTCTCTTCAATTTCTCTGTAAACCTAAAACTTATCTTAAAAAGTATCCTATTAATTATTAAATGAAGCAACATCAAAATGAAATTGTTATGTAAAAAAGAAAAACACAGAGTGCAATACAAGGGTAGTTTTTGCACTGCTGGCTAGGCTATAAAATCTAACAGAATGAGAGAATAGGAAAGGAAAAAGATAATAAAGTTTGGCCAAGAAGATAAGAGGAGGTGCTTTTAAGAGAAAAAGAGTAAACAAGTGAAACATAGCAATATTGAGAGAAAGTAAATCTATATAACGGGGCTCAGAGACTGAGGCAACTGCTAAGGGAAAAGATACTTAGTCATTTGCAAGAGGGTTTTCTCCATATTGTGCAATATAACCCTGATCTCTGCTTCACATAAAAACTATGAGTAAATTTTTTACTATATTTTATTCTTTTGAACTTTGGTTTTGTGATTGGAAAATGTGTTCCGCTGACCTACAAGAAGGCACAGGGATTTCTGCTTTCATCTATGTTAGAGCACAAGGACCAGAATTACCCTTCTACCTTATCATCTAAATACTGGACAAAAATATATGAAACAGGGTATTCAGAAACTGGAAAACAGTAAGTACAATATAATAAGGAAAGTAAAGTAAGCTGATTGACCCCAGCATACTGTCAGAATTTTCAGTCCACAATATAAGGAAAGGAAACCCAATCAGAGCCTACTAGTCCCCTTGCATTTAGAGTTTAGGAGACAAAATTCAGTGTTTGGGGAAACTAAGACAGCTAGAATTCGCAAGGCACAATATTAGAGAAGAGGTAACCATACAGACGAGAGAAAAATAGAGGCGGGGGGAGGGAAGGAGGAAGGAGGCAAGCTCTTGAGAACTCCACAAATGTACAGAGGGGTCCCCTTGATGCATAGAGAGATTTTTACTACCCACTCCAAAGTTCTAGATACCTTTCTTTCCCACATACTCAATCAGAGCCCTCTTGGAACAAAAATCTCTGTAGAATTTGGGAGTACGGTAGAATGCACAGCTGTCCTCCATTTAAACATGGCAACATTAGAGTTTAAAACTGAGGCTTCCACAGCAGAACACTGCTTAATGACGATCACCAGGTATTATGTTGTAGTAACTAATATGATTTGAAATTGTTTTTATTTTCATTGAGAAGAATTTGGAAAATATAGAAAGCTGTGGAATAAAATGTAAGAGTAATTATTATCTCAACCTGAACTGTGACTGTTTTATAAACCTGACTTTTAAATAACTTTTCTTATTACACCGGACATTTATATTCGTTGATAAAAATCTGGAAAATAGGGAAAAGTATAAAGAAGTGAATAAAAATCAGTTGTAATTCCATGGGTTATAAATATTAAAAAAAAAAAAAAAACTTTGTGGGTTTTCGGGGGACTTTGTTGGTGTCAATGTTTATTTTTATTCCACTGTGGTCCGAGAAGGTGCATGGTAGAATTTCAGTCCTTTTAAATTTGCTTATACTTGATTTGTGTCCAATTATGTGGTCGATCTTAGAATATGTTCCATGTGGTGATGAGTAGAATGTGTATTCTGTGGTCTTTGGATGGAGTGTTCTATAGGTATCAATTAAGTCCATTTGGTCCAGAGTCTCATTGAGGTTCCGGATCTCCTTGCTGATTTTTTGTCCTGATGATCTGTCTAAGGTTGTGAGTGGTGTATTAAAGTCCCCAGTTATTATGGTGTTTGAGTCAATGTCTTTCTTTAGTTTTCCTAGAAGTTGCTTTATGAATGTTGGTGCGCCTATGTTGGGTGCATATATGTTTAGGATAGATATTTCTTGTTGATGGAGTGAACCTTTTATCATTATGTAGTGGCCCTCTGTATCTTTTTTAATTTTTGATAGCTTAAATGGTATTTTGTCTGAAATTAGGATCGCGACTCCTCCTTTCTTTTGTGTTCCATTCGCCTGAAAATTTGTTTCCCATCCTCTTACTTTGAGTCTGTGTATGTCCTTTCTAGTGAGATGGGTCTCTTGAAGGCAGTATATTGTTGCCTGGTGATATTTTATCCATTTTGTCATTCTATGTCTTTTCAGTGGTGCGTTTAGTCCATTCACATTCAGACTAATTATTGAAATGTGAGAGTTCATCCCTATCATGGAGTTCTTATTGAGTTATTGTTCTTCCACTTGGTTTTTTCTTTTTTTTTGTCTTTCTTTTGGTTTTGGGGTTGGTTCGTGTATATTTTATTCTTTTCCCTGTACTCTTGTGAAGAACGTTGTTCTTTTTTCCTTTTCTTCTGTGTTTAGTACTTTCTTAAGTGTTTCATGTAGAGATGGTTTTGTGGCTGCATAAGTTCTTAGGGATTGGATATCTGGGAAAGATTTTAATTCTCCCTCACTGATGAAGCTTAGCTTGGCTGGGTAGGTTATTCTTGGTTGAAATTGTTTATCCTTTACGACTTTGAAGATAGGGCTCCAAGCTCTCCTAGCCTGCAGGGTTTCTGCAGATAAATCTGCTGCTATTCTGATTGGTCTTCCATGGTGGGTGATCTGGCCTTTTTCTCTTGCTGCCTTTAGGATTTTTTCTTTTGTGTCTACTTTATTTAGGCGAATTATTATGTGTCTAGGAGTTGGATCTTC